GGATTGGCTCCTGCCTAGGTCACAGATAAAAATACTGCAGTGTTAAAAAACGCCAGCATGCTAATCACCTCCATGGTAACTTTATGAATATCTTGTTTACCATGCTGCACATTTTGCACACTGTAAAAAGTGGCTCATCAGATCTACCTGAAAAAGTTACCACATGAAGTAATAAATAAATGAACTTTATCCAACCTTAATAAATACTTTGAATGAACAATTCTTTCAAATCAGTGTAATTGTTTAAGTTGAATAAAACTAATTCAATTGCTTGTTACCACATGAAGTAAATTTGAAGTAGATCTGATGTGCCACTTTTTACAGTGCATGGTGTAGCGCTGCTACCACCAAGTTTATGAATCTGGTCTAATTAACTGGTTTTACATAAAATTAGTACAGTGTTCATGATGAAATGTATATAATCTCAAGCAGATTCAGTTGAAAATTATCTTCTCACTGGCCCAAACAAACTGGAGATGACAGGGATAATCACCCCAGTTCCAAACAGGATCAGACCCTCCGCCAGTTGCAACACAGTCCTCATCTCCTACTTTACTGTTGGGTTCCCCACTTCAGAGTGTCCACTGTGTTTGGATATTGACTGGATATCCACTTCAGAGCATTAAGACTTAGTATCACCAGAGTACAGTTCAGTGATCTCTTACCCAGTGGTCAGTGCTGAGCCATCCACCCATGTCCACGTTCCTTCAGTGTCAGTGTCAGTCAGACAAATCCAGCCTTTGCCCATACTCTTAACAATGAATTCCTGTCATTGTTCCAAAATGTGAAATTACAAAATGCAATGCAATGAAATTACATGAATCCAGTACTGATCTGTGTGTCCATAGTTTTTACAGTCTGGCAGTAATAATTATAGGTTGAATGGTGTTCTGCAATTTAGCTCCCTCAGTAATAGTATTTTCATTCAAAGTGACCTGATGGTAATGATGTTTCAGTCGAGGCAATCTGTGATTTCACCAATTCTCTGCCTCAAAATATTTGATTATGTTCAGACAATGCTTAGTTTCTCACCGATTCTTCTCTGCTGCTTATGATTGCCAGGTCTGCTCCTTTCTCTCTGCAGAACTGCCTGCTCTCACCCCAGCTCTTACTCTCAGTAGTAATACATACTGGAGCAGAAATACTGCCATCCATCTTAAATAAAGGAAAACAATCAGTAAGTCATGAAACTTACCATAGTCAATGCAGCAAGAAATATTAAATTACTCTTGGTACTAAATACAGTATGTTAAAACATTCACCCAAATCTGAAAAGCTCTTTTAATGATCTTCTCTTTCTCCACTGAACTTGAACCACAGCAGGCCAATGGCAGCCAGCAGGAGAACACAGAGCAGCCCCAGACACACTGCAGCCACTGTGGAACATCTGCCTCCTGTGTTGTTACAATGTATTTATGAGAATAAATTAGAGCAAAGTTGCACCAAGTCAAACTTGAACTTAAAATAAACTGTGAAAAAATAAGGCCAGACCAAAGAAACACCATAGCAGCATCTTCAAACAAAGCAGTTTCTGAAAATTAAGAGGGAAAGTAATTAACAGAGAAGGACACTCAGTGTTTTTTTTTTCAGACTTACACAAGGAAAACAACTGGCAAAAAGAACCCAGAGCTTAACAAAGACTCAATACCTGCGAGATTACTGTTTACCAGCTTATCAGAGAGACATGCACATGTCAGCATAAACTCAAGACTAAGCAGTGAACTGTGGGAGAGCTTTCCTTAAGTAGATCATGCACAGCTGCACCTGATCAGCCTCATTCAGCTCATCCCGGTTCTTTGACTCCTCCTAGTGGTTGAAGGTGGCCTAGCAGAAGGTACACCGATCAGGCATAACATTATGACCACCTCCTTGTTTCTACACTCATTTTTCATTTTATCAGCTCCACTTACTATATAGATGCACATTGTAGTTCTACAATTACAGACTGTAGTCCATCTGTTTCTCTGCATACTTTATTAGCCCCCTTTTACTCTGTTCTTCAGTGGTCAGGACACTCACAGAGCAGGTACTATTTGGAAGGTGGACCATTCTCAGCACTGCAGTAACACTGACGTTGTGGTGGTGTGTTAGTGTGTGTTGTGCTGGTATGAGTGGATGAGACACAGCTGTGTGTGTGTATATATTTGTGTGTATATATATATATATATATATATATATATATATATATATATATTATACATATTTATATATAAATAAATATTTAATGCATCTATATAGTAAGTGGAGCTGATAAAATGAACAATGAGTGTAGAAACAAGGAAGTGGTCATAATGTTATGCCTAAACAGTGTATTTTTTTTTGTTTGTATGCAGAATGCCTTTGTAAAAGTTGGGCAAAAAGTGAAACTGAATTCACTGAAATTTGAATTCTGCAATTTAGATGTGAGTTTGATGTCTTCAATGAACTTCAAGTTCAATTGGTAGATAGCAATAATAGTTTTTTTACAGTGATAAGCAGTGGCAAACCATGACTCTTAAACCTCAGCCCTCTGACCCCTCTTCCCACGTCTGAGAAAAAAAAACAGCCTAGTTTACTGTTTCCTCTCCAAAAGCACTGCAAAAGTTAAGAAATAAAAATTTAAATGATAGTTCAGCTTTAGACATGCAACAAGCAAATAGCACAGAGAGCGTCATCACCTGAACAAAACGGTTAATTTCTTAAGCAATGTGTAAATGCTCCTTACAAATAATCACATCATCATACAAGCTCCGTGTGCACTTTAGAGGAATATGGAGATGATGGGCCGGAGTTCAAAACGCATAAGTCCTTTGTATGTGAATAGAAATAGCCTTTCACTGCTTCATCTTTTAATAATCACTTTAATCACACTGATATTCCTATCAAAACTAGGAATGTCAGTTATTCAAACATAAATTCTGCTGTTATGAAATAACATGTACAGCACTAGGTGTTCTAGGCATGTGTAATGCTTTGTATCACTAGCACCGTTTGCAGGCCTCATGCTACATATTTACATTACCTATGAACAACTAAGCTAAGCTAAATTTTAAAATTTGAACCGTTATTGGTGTACTACTCCTACTGCCTTTTAATTCTTAGCTGTAGATTAAACCTTTTTTTAACAAATGCAATTGAGAATTTACTTGATCTAAATGCATGTAATTTGTCATTAGTAATACATTTATGGTTTTTTCAAGGTCCCCACTGTAACGCAGGGTTTGCAAATCAGACACACGCGGATAAAAGTTAATCCGGAAGATTTATTCTGACGGGAGTAAACAGGGTTAACACCAGACCAGGCCAATAACCAGAACAAGCAGACAAAATACAGGGGCATAGGCGAAAGCGAAGTCGAAAAAACAGGCGAGGGTCGTAACCAGAAATAGCACATAAACCAAAACAACAAAGCCAAGACAGAGACGAGAATCGAAAACGAAAATACAAGCGAGGTCAAACACGGAGTAGCAATCAGAAAAAACAAACGGCTCGGTATGCACAGACTAGGTAAGGGCAATACTTCGCAAATATATACAGAGTACAACAGGTGATGATGATTAGTATTCCGGTGACTGTGATCTGTTAGGTGGTTGGTGATTGGTTGGAAGAGTCTCGTGACTGACTGAAGGATTCTGGGAAGTGGAGTTCTTGGTGGTCTGGGAGTCCGAATGAGAACCAGGAAGCGTGACACCCACAAATCAAACAGGAATTTGTGTGAATTATGCAAATAATATGTAAATTTGGTCCCCATCAGCCATGCTCACTAGTTTTCATAAGTCCCCATATAGCATGGTGAAAAGATTACTTCGTCAAATCTGAAGTTTCAAGTCGTGTATAGGCTTAGAAAGGCGCGGTTAGTGTTCCTAATTTTTTCATACGTCTAGGACCTTTAGAAAGGGTGGTCCCCGCAAGTGATGATCAGAAACTTGGTCCCCATCCAACATAGAAACCAGTTTGTGTGTGTGTGTGTGTGTGTGTGTGTGTCCAGAATTTACTTTTGTTAAGTCCAAAATGTCTCCAGACCTACTGGGTCATTTGAGAGGGAAGATAGTTCTGAGGTAAGCCCCCCCCCCCCAACTGAGGGGGTTGGGACAGTGTCCTTAGAGCCCTGTGGGGGACATACTCAGATATTCAGCAGACATCCTGGTGCCTGTGGATTGCTCTTTGTATCTTAAACAAAATGTTTAACTTTGCCCAAAAAGTCTTGATCATTTCAAGATTAAAAATAAGTTCACTACAGTGGTAAATGCACTTCAGTAGTAAATGAGGTTGTTGAAGTTCAAGTGCACCTCGCCTTGGCAGTTGGTGAGTCGGCGAGAGTAGCCATTGGTGAGAGTAACTGGTTGAAGTTCAAGTGATTTCTCTCACTATATTGACCAACCTTTTAAGAACACCAACAATATTATACTGTTTAAGTTACTAAAACTTTTTGGTTGTGAGTAAAGACAAAGCTAACTTGCTGCTGTCAGACTAAAGGTTAGGCACTAATTATATCAGTTAATCTGAATCCTTGAAGGTATAGCAATTATGACACAGGATATGTATTTGAAGCAGATGCAATAGGACTTCATCTTGTTTTCTGGGCTATTTTGAACATTACATGCATTTTTGGGTTTATTGTTTTTGGACCCCCTAAAGTTGCTATGGCCACCCAATGGCTACTCCATGTATACACTCCTAAAATTGCCACTGGAGCTGGTTTTACAGGAGCAACCCATGTATCTTGCACTAATCACACTGTTAGAGATCCTATCATTAACATTACATGCATTTAAAGTGATTCACATCTGTAGAGAATTCTCTGAAATGATGAAATGGAAAGACTTAGACTAAATATAAATATCACTCATCATTGCCACTGAGCATCTATTCAGTGAGGTTTAAATTCTTGTTGTATTGTCAAAAAAGGTGAAACACTCCTGACTTCTTTATTTGACAGCAGCACAATAATGACTTCCTCATTTGACCACAGTAGATAATCCATGCTATCAAAGTCCACCCAAAGTGGTGTGGTAGCCACAAACAGGTGGACACTTATTCAGCGTTTTACTGAGTCTTATATTATAGATTAGAGATGTCTGAGAGTGTTTCTAATGGTATAAATCACAATGATAAGCTGGATAGGGGAGAGCTTGTTGAGATGGTGGTGGATATCTATGAGAGCGCAGATGTTATTAAAAGCCATAAGCCCAACATAGAGGTGGAGGACACCAACACAAAGAGCAGCATACAAACTCAGTCCACAGGTAAGATTAGATAATTCCCTCTTCACACTTATTTAAAAGATATGTGTATATATTTTGAATTAATATAAGCGCCTGACTGCTTCCTCAAGAAGATTGAAACAAACAATAATTTTTGCATCAAATATCAGTGGATTGTGATCAAAAGTGAGTTCGACAATTTCTGTCATTTACAGTAAGCATGGTGTGACATACAATGGCATTTTTTCTAATGAGTGCATAATAAATAAACAAAAGCCAGTGTGTTTCTCGGTGTACAGCTAGAGAAAACAGCATCATCTGCATACAGATGCATTGTGCAGTTCACAATGGAAGTGGTGATGTGATTTAACATAGATATTGAATAAAACTGGTCCAAGGATTTAGCCCTGAGGAACACCTTTAGTTTCTGGTAACAGGTCTGATTTTTCCTGCCCTGGGACAAACACATAATTGTGAACTAATAATTGTGTCTAGTAGTATATTTTGTATATGTTTTAAGAGTAGCAAAAAATCAACTGTAAAAGTGTTGGAGAGACCAATAGAAAATGATCAACAATGTTTCTTTTTTGGCAGTAAGAATATCATTTAAAACAAGTGTGGTAGCAGATATGGTGCTGTGTTTTTCTCCAAAACTAGTTAACACAGAAAAAATGACTTTAGTTGATAAGTCAGTAAAGATGTTTAGGTTTTGAATAGACATGACTATTTTGAAATTGGTCTATACTTATTATAAGTATACTTTTAAGTATACTTATACTTATCAAGTGGAGTCACATGTGCTGATCAAATAGAAAGATTAAAAATTTACATAATATGTTCTAAAATGATTGAAGATGCAAGTTGCAGAAAAAAGGGATCGAGTCTTGTACTTTATCTTGTACTTTATCTTGTACTTTATCAAGAGTTTGTAGCTTTGAGAGCTTTAGCTACTATGTGAGAAGAGTAGGGGTGAAAAGTGACATTTGTTAAATTAAGAGGCCCAGTAATGGTGATAATAATAAGTGTCCAGCAACTGTTACATCAAACTAAGACTGACAAAAATATCTGTAAAATAACAAAATTCCATTAGAAAAACATATCATCATAAAAGCAAGTTACAGAACTAATATTCGTAAAACCACTTCAGTGAAGGGCAACATTCATAAGGCTATGCAACACCTACATACTGAAGAGCTCAGTGACTTTAATTGTGAGTTCCAAACTGCCCCTAAAAGCAACATCAGCTCAAGAACTGTACATCGGGAGCGTCATGAAAAGGGGTTTCCTTGGCCGAACAGCTACACACATGCCTAAGATCACTATGTGCAATGCCTACCCTTACAAAAAAGTTAATTCAAGTGTGCTATTAGTATAAAAATAAGTTAATGTGCTTTCAGTTTACTTTTTATGTACTTATGAGAGATACACTATCAAAATTACATGTAAGTATACATGGCTTATACAGACAAGTAAACAGAAAAAGTATATCTAAGTATATTTAGCCTATACTAATCTATTGATTGAGCTATTCTTGCCTTATACATAAACTTTAAGTATTTGGTTTGTAGTTTGGGTTCTGTACATTTGTGGAACTGATCTTTTATGTAAATTTTAGAGAAGAACAATCTGTCTGTGGGCGTCCAGGAACTGATTTCAGACAGGTTGTGTGCCACAAATTCTAACGTCAAACTTCCCTAAACACTGTGTGTGTTTGTTGTGTTTTGTTTTGATCTTGAATATCGATTTATGATCTTATATTTTGGCATCAAATACAATATTTGTTTGAAAAATTTGATTTATAAAGAAAACAAATATGTTCTTAATGTCGAGTATGTCTTGTGAATGTTTATATGTGTACTCCACTGCTAGTGTTCATATTATTTAACTGAAAGTCTACTTAAAGTTAGTACTGTTGAAGGTATATTTCAAATATTTCAAAAAAGAATACCTAAATAGAAACCTAGTAGTATACTTTAAAGTGCAAAAATAGTATTAAATTAAGATAAGATCTAGTTGTGTACTCAGTGTTCTACTCTTACACCTAAAGAATACTTAAATGTATACTTTTGTAAGCTAAAGTAGGCCAATTTTTTCCCAAGAAATGTTGAAAAAGTGCACTTGCAAGTATACGACCAGTACATCGATATTAGTATACTTACTATATAAAGTATACTTGGAAAATATACTTGAACTTTACTTAAGTTTACTTAATAAAATGAACTTAAAGTATACTTTTTTGCAAGGGTAGTGTAGACTGGAGTGGTGTACTGCCACTGAACTCTGAACACTGAAGCACTGGAAATGTGTCTTCTGGATAAATGAATCATGCTTCACTATATGGCAGTCTGATGGATGAACCTGAGTTTAACAGATGCCAGAAGAACCCTGTCTACCAGACTGCATGTTGCCAACAGTAAAGTTTGGTTGAGGAGGGATAATGGTCTGGGGCTGTTGTTCAGGGTTTGGGCCGCTTAGTTCCAGTGAAGGGTAAAATTAATGCTACAGCATAGAAAGACATTTTAGACAATTATATGCCTCGTTCATGTTCCAGCATGATTGTGCCACACTGCACAAAGTGAGTTCCATAAAGACATGGTTTGAGTGAAGTGGCCTGCACAGAGCCCTGACCTCAACCCACTGAACACCTTTGGGATGAACTAAAACAGAAATTGTTAGCCAGACCTTCTCGTCCAACATCAGTGTCTGACCTCACAAATGCTCTTTAGCCTGATGGGCTCAAACTCCCATAGACACACTCCGCAATCATGTGGAAAACCTTCCCAGAAGAATGGAGGCCGTCATAGCTGCAAAGGGAAACTCCATATTAATGGCCATGGTTAGAAATTCGGCAAGAAGAGTCAGGAGACTGGAGCTTCGGCATTGACTGGAGTTTATTTCCACATACAGAGCATGGGGACAGCGTGGTCGATCAGCAGTCAATCAGCATTATCAGGAGTCTAGTCTTATTCACGTGCATGCAGACAATCATGCACGGGCATAGCTTGGTCATCAGTGTGTCACCAGTCTGGTCTGGTCACCAGTCTAGTCTAGTCCAGTCTAACAAGAATATTTTAGAAGAACCTTATAAACTAAGAAGGGGGACGGAAGAACAAAAAGACTTTGAGGAGGGGTAAGGAAGGGTTGTAGACGGGGGGTATGAATAGAGATGTAGGGGGTAGAGATAAGGGGGGGTTGATGGTATCACCTTAAGGTCGTGAGACAAATGGTCATTTAAATACAAATGAAGAAGTGATCGGGCAAGGTGAGAGTGCGACCAGTTTCACCTTTCTGCCATTTGCTCTCTACAATGAAAATGGTTTGGACCATAAGAAAATAACATAAAGGAAAATAACATATATTGAGAATATTTTCTTTCACCATGGTTACAAATGCTGGCCTTCAGTAAAGAGTTAGCTAAAAAAAAATAATAACAGAATCAAATAAATCAAGTAAAAAAAACTATCTAAATGAATTAATTGGTGATTTAAGAAGTCACCATTACATCATCTACCTCAGTCTGCATTGAGACATTGTGTTAACAGGTGTATGTATAAAAATATTCAAACACAAATTAGGAAGTATGTTTGTGTGGCCTAATATTGTTAGTCACAATGAGATATGAGAGAATCCAGGTGAAACACTTTTGTGATCAGGCTGTCCAGGCCAAAATGTCTATTATGGGTATTAAAAATTAGACTAAAGCAAATATATATGTGTGTCCATTCTTCCCTAGGAGGAGACGCTGTAGATAGCAGATATTACAAACTGGCTGCAGTGTGTCTGGGGCTGCTGTGTGTTATTGTGTTGGCTGCAATCACAGTGCTGCTCATTAAGTTTGACAACCTGACTGTAGAGAGAGACCAGTTAAAGACCAGGTACACCAACCTGACTACAGAGAGAGACCAGTTACAGACCAGATACACCAATCTGACTATAGAGAGAGACCAGTTACAGACCAGTTACACCAACCTGACTATAGAGAGAGACCAGTTACAGATCAGTTACACCAATCTGACTATGGAGAGAGACCAGTTACAGATCAGTTACACCAATCTGACTATGGAGAGAGACCAGTTACAGATCAGTTACACCAATCTGACTATAGAGAGAGACCAGTTACAGATCAGTTACACCAACCTGACTGCAGAGAGAGACCAGTTAAAGACGAAAAATACCAACCTAACTATGGAGAGAGACCAGTTAAAGACCAGTAGCACTTCATTGACAAGAGAGAGAGAGAGACTTCAGACGTGGCTTTTGCAACTTGGTAAGTGAATATTAGTGGACCAGTATTTCATAAATTCACTTTACAGAAAACCTTTGTTAAATTCATCATGAAATTTTGACAAAAGGCAAAGGTCAGCTGGTGTTTTCAAGTATGACAATAAAAAAATACAAAATCGAGACAGAAGGTTATATATATACCACATTGGTGTATCCTGTTAGAGTAAACAAGAAATGAGCCAGGAGAACCAGAGCAGTTGAACAGGCCTCAAACAATTCTAATTTGTTATTTGTAATGAATCAATTAGTGAGAACAACAAGACTGAATGACAATGCAGTCCTGAAAACAAGAGTTGAGATGGAGGTCAAACCTTCTATAAAGAAGCATGAAAATACCAGTATTTTATCAGAAGACATGATAACACTGTGTTCAGCATTTACTCAAGCATGTGTTCATCTTTATGCTTATGTTCCAAACAAGGATGGAGATACTTCAACTCCAGTTTTTACTACATCACTACTGGAACGAAGAGCTGGAGTGGGAGCAGACAGGACTGCACAGACAGAGGAGCAGACCTGGTAATCATAAACAACAGGGAAGAACAGGTGAGATGATGTGCCAGTGAGACGAGGAGAGAAAGAGACTGAGACAGACAAGGATAACGAAGTAGCCCTGCTACATAAGCTACTTTTTGCTGTGTATTCTAGTTGGCCATCATGATATCAAACATTTATGACATCCGTCTTGATGATTACTTGTAATGGTACCATGACACTGTTACATGTTACATGTTACTGGACGTATCCTGTCATGTGACAGTTTGATGTTTGATGAACATACAGTTCATCAATCCATAACTGACGTTTTGTACCAGAAGCCACAGTGTTTAAAACACTGTTTTAGTAAAGTGAAATTTTTAATTTCCTTCATCAAATTCAGAATAATATGAAATGGCTTTCAGAAAAAGTGTTTTTTTCAGTCATAAATAGATGTGTAATATGAATAAATGTGTCCTGTAAACTTTCTTTTCTCTGTATCTCAGCAACAACAATGACAACAATGTTAACGGCTAACATAAATAGTTACTAAATAATAAAGCGCACAGTCAGTATTTATTATCAGTTTTGGTAAATCAGAATAGGTATTTTAATAATCTCCTCCCAGTATTGTGCACTGTGAGAGGGAAAGCCCTATAAATGCATCTGCAATGAGCCAAAAGCGCAAGAGAGCAGCAAAAGCCGATATCTTTTTACAGGCCCTAAAGAGCGGCTGCGCCTATTTAGTAAAACTTTTATCTTTAAAACATGCAAAATGTTTGTAAATCTGCTCCTTAACTGTTATTTTTACTTTGCTACCACAATCACAGGAGTTTATCAACAAAACAGTTGGTAGCAGTGAAACTTGGATTGGTCTGACAGACATTCAAACAGAGGGGACCTGGAAATGGGTGGACAACACAACACTGACCACTGGGTAAGACACTACTGAACTGAACTCTGCTCATGCAGCACTTATCCGCTCATTGAAGATGTTGATGTGAAAAAGTGAAGACTGTCATTATTGTGTTTCAGGTTCTGGTGGACAGGGGAGCCCAATGATTTTGGAGGCAATGAGGACTGTGTTATAACTGGCTTCAGAGGTGCTGGATCTGAAAGAGTATCAACCTGGGCTGATTTTCCCTGTGGTGATTCACGACGTGGAATTTGTGAGAAACGTATTTAAGTGAATAGCAGAAACTATATTCATTTTTAAGATGAGGAAACAAAACACTAGTTTTCATTTATCAACATGTATAATAAAACATTTTCTTAGGACGTTTCTCAAGAACAAATTTAATAAAAAAACTTGGTGAATGAGGCCCAACATTCTGAAATGCAATTCATGCAAGCAATGCTCGTGAAAAAAAAAAATAAAATGTCAAATATTCGCTTAAGAAAAAGAAGAAAAGTGTTAAGAAAAGTGTATGTAGGCTATGTAGGTTATTTGTCATGTAGACTATCAATATCATGTTACATTTTACAGGTTACCAGAATTCATGCCACATTCACATTAACTAGTTATTCAGTTTAATCACATCGGGACCCGATGACAGCAAAATAAGTGTAAAACAAAATCAATCTAAGACAAGTGTGAGACTGTCGTAAAGTTAAGAAAATAATATAACTTGTAACAGAATATAACCATCATTTTTATAATTATTCTAAAGAATTCAAACCCCGTCACAATCCAGGGAGCCGTATGTCTGGAGAATTGAAGTTTCTTTCTTGCGCACAGGTACCAGATACCTAAAACAATGGACTGACGCAGTTTTACAGCTGGACTGATGCCAAGATTAGGCTCAGACTATGCATGACAGGTGACAAGTGTGAAAGACATGACCATGTAGGGATAAACAAAAACAGGCAGAACAGAAGGTTCTAAGTACAATCACAGTACCGACACACACAATACTGCATATGATTACATATAACAGCACTAAACTCATTACAGAGCAGTACATTCCTTCAATTATTAGGAGACACGTTAAGAAGGAAATGAAGAAATTCTGAAAAGTTTTTTTGAAAACTAAAAAATAAGAAATAAGAAGATTTTCCTTCCTTAATACAGTTTTGTAAATCTGGCTCCTGGTCTCCAGTTGGGAAGGATGGCTTCTCTGTCAATCTACAGTGTTGCTGGCCAAATGTGAGCACTCAGTTGTCTCGCCACTTCCTCTTGTTGTTTTATTCCCGCAGTGTGGAAGTACAGATTCAACTGCTTTCTGCTTGCACCATGCAGTTTATGTGTATTTTTAAATGGTTAACTCCTTTTGGGTGGCTTATTGTGCTTATATAGACTGATAATTCTATCAAATGTGTCACAATAGTGACACAGGCTTTCTCTGTATATCCCTAAAAAGTGATTTGTGGGGTGCTATGTAGCAGCTTAGTTTTGTATGCCATGAACGTTTTAGAGTCCATTATACTAAAACATGCTGTTTATGATGCATTATATGCTGGTCTGATGCTGGTCTGATGCTGGTTTAGTGGTTAAGAAGCATGTTCATTCTGATTGACATACCAGCCTTCAAGACACAACACATGCTGATTTTACATAAGTCAGTTTTAAAGAAATCATGACTGATCACTGCTATTATAATACACTGAAATACTAATAGTTACAAACTACAGCTGTTCAGTTCTGCTGTTGCTATAGCTTGTTAGAGATCATTTTCTGAGTTACTGTGTGCTACAAGCTGTTATGTAACCAGCGCATACCTTTGAATGTCTGATGATTATGAAATAAAATAAACAGTTTGGATGTTTGCTGGCTTCCCAGTTAGTTAAATGTGTGCTATTTTGTCCTGCTTCAGCTCATTTTCTGGTATAAAACAATAGAAATTGCTATCAGTAAAGCTAATTTGACAAGAATAACGCTGCATCTCCAAAATGGTAACTTACAGGAGAAGGAAAAAACCTTACTTTTAATTACTTTTAAGTCAATGGAACCAGAATTTTTTCGAAGTCATTTTGGGCCGTTTATTTTGGTCCTTTCTTCACAAAATTTACATAAGATGTAAAGGACAACATGTATTTTCAAACTATGTCAAAAACTGAAAACGACAAAAATGGAGATATAAGTTTTTCTTCCGACAACAGTGATAAGCACATCCTAGATAAGTTAAATCTTGAAGATTAAAAAAATGTTTACATTGTCATTAAGGTAGTGAAGATGGGCTGATGTCTGAAAAATAACACAGTGTACAGTATTTAATGTTTTGTTGGTTGGACTGTCTCCATTTGGCCATGTAAGAAAACCAATTTTCCTGAGATGCTGGCACCGGACCATAAATGACCCCTGCCTGTTGCAATATTTGCTATTATTTGTCTTACAAAATCTTTGTTTTTTCAAATTATACACATTGTGGATTGTTTAAAAGTGGACATATCTTACAAAATGTTGAAGATAAAAAATATCGGACAGTCAGTTTGTCATATAGTTTGTTGTATTGTTATATCTACGTCCACGAAACAGCAGCTTGTTGAGGGCACTCAGGTATTTCCTCTTTTTCTCCTATTCATCTACTCAGAGCCTCTGGTCTCCCTAATCTCACTCTGGTACATTTTTCACACCAAGGATTGCCGTCTCCCCCTGAGGAGGCTCTCTGACTGAGGCAAGTTTAGAGTCTCAGTCTTTAACCAACTGAGCTGAGCTCCTGCTTGGTTCTTAGGAAAATCTGCAGTCACACCAGCTCTTTATGGATAAGATTGGGCAGTTGTGCTTTAGTTATATACTTCATACAATGTATAAATGACTGAATCAATTAAAATACTATACAGTTAAACACTACAGGCATTTCTCAGGGGGACAAGAGATATGATTTATATGTAATTTACACATATACTGGAGAAAAGTTTACAGAATTGGGGTAAGATAGGTAGGTGAGGTATGGAAGGGTTTAATGTTTAAAGTATAATGTATATAATTTTAATTTCTTCTGAACATTATCTTCTGAAGGTTCCAAAATGTTTCTAGATATTAGTGTCATAAAACCGGGTTTGTACCACTATAATCAATACATTAAAGTATAGAGCATATGCCTCTAACAAAGCCAAAGCATTAAATGCATAAATCAAATAAATGAACAGTAGCAGTCATGTGAAATGTGCATTTTCCAAAAACTAAAGATGCACCGAAACCCCTTTCTTTCAGATGTACGTATAAAACGCCCTGCATTGATTTCATGATGAGTAAACAGTAAATGATTTAGTGAACAGCGCCCTCTCCTGATCATAAGGTGCTCTTGGTTAGACCTTTAAGGAAGGGTCAGAGGCATATGTCACAGACCATATCTTACATATGGAATCTGAATATGTGTGTTTTAATCTTGCTTATGTCAATTACATCCATGATTGAAGCCCCTTTGCACCTGTTTACACCATGCATTAACATGTGTTTCATGTCTGAATCATATCTGGATAAACTTTGGCTGCATTCCTCGTGAGATCAGATTTTCCTGTGCTAAAAGCACATCAACACATACATAGTTTTTTGTCTTTTGTTTATTTTGTTCTTTGTTACAGCGTATATGTTCATCAGCCCAGAGTGCAGGAAGGCTGTTGATTTGGGGATGAATCCAGCTACTCGTATCCTCCACCTACAGTTTCCTTGTTTCTCCTCTTACTTGCTAGTCTGCGTTCAGCAGACATGTTTCCACTCATGTAATTGTATACGGATAGTGGGAATGCTCTCTGTTTATGCTTGTGGAAAATGTGGTCAGGATCCATCTCTGATCACCTCCAAATGCGGTTTGAGTGATCAGAGTAATTTGTTCACAATGTGTCCAGAGTCAGTATCTTTTGAGTCAGTATTGAATGTAAAACAGGCTATACAAAGAAAATTAAATTGAAATAAATTTAGTCTTAAACCACACATAGGCTGTACTTGGCCCCCCTCCCCGACCCTTTAAAGTATATTGTTGGCCACCCAAGTATATTTCATCCCTTTTAAAACAATGTCCAGTTCTGAAGAGAATTTATTTATTTATATATATATATATATATATATATATATATATATATATATATATATATATATATATATAGATGCCTGGTATTTAAATATGATTGAACTTGCCTTTTGATTGGCAAGACAATAAAGATTCATGAACCCGCTCTCTTTGTTGCTGGGTCTTCATTTTCTTGGCACATGACCACAACCAGAGTATTTTTGTTTTAATTTCATATACAAGTGGATGGTGTCAGATTTGCCGCTAATCTACAGTGAGCGTGTTTTGTTGACTCTTCACTGCATCGATCAAACTCAGCGCTGAGCAAAGCGTCAGTGTTCACCCAGCCTTGTGGTGAGCGAAGCGCAAAAGGCATATTAGCTGAACGTCCCCTGAATGTGGATGTGACATAGTCAGTTACTACGCCATACATCAACATCTTCAGCTTGTCCATAGCAAGAGAGCAGAGTAAGGATATGTGCATCAGTGGCCTGATTTGTCAGATAGATGAATATATTGTCATCTTTCACCTCATTATAGCTCTATGTCCCGTTCGGTTTGATGCAATTTGGCAAAAAAAATCCAATCAACTTCCCGCATCCTGGTATATGTTTATATGTTTCTAACTCTACTCTGATACTGTTTTATGCTAACATTTGCACAAATGCAGTGTCTTAAAGTAAGAACAAAGTGCACAAAGTTTCTTACACTCCCCCATATCTTCTTTCACACCTTAACCACAACATCACTTAAAGGAAGCATGAAGTATCTGCATGGTGACTTCCTGTACGGACAGCATGGTGATGGTTAAACTGCTGTCATAGACAACACAGTAAAGAGGTGGAGAGTTCTCACAGGCAGACAGAGACCAAGTGTTCACTGATTTTGTAGAACAATGTAATACTTAATACAATATTTATTACAATTTATTACATTATGTAATGCACAGTTTGTATGATAAGCTGCAGTTTTAGTAATAGAGCATTCATTTCAGGCACATTGTGGCTGCATATTGCAGTTGCATCAAGGTCCTGATGTCCTGTGCCCTGATGTACATCCAGCCTTCAGGAAAGGCTTTATTTTACTGCTTATTTGTTTATTTCTTTAGATATTTGTTTTTTACCTACCTTTAATTGAGCTTGGGTCATTACTTTATCTTGAATATGCTTTCGGCTGCTCTATTTCTGTCATGTATAAATTAGAGAGATGTCTGAGAGTGTTTATGAAGACATGGTCAGCACTGAGGAGCTGAACAGAAGCAGTTGAGTGGAAGTGGCGGTGGCTATCTATGAGAGTGCTGACGCTGTAAGAGGCTTTGAGCCCAGCACAAAAAGGAAATTTCAAACACACCACACAGGTATCACACCACACAGCAGCTGTTGCCAGGTTAGAACCCAAGATATAAGACAGTACTCTTGCATAAAAAGGGGGAAAGAAAAAGTGAAATAACAGGAGGTT